CTAATCGTTTTAGCTTTTTAATGATAGATTCTAGTCTTCCTCTCAACTTGACATTCCAAAATATATGTAACGTACATTCCATAGACTCCAAGCTTCCTCCATTGGTTATTTTCTATGAGCAATTTTCTATAAATAACTGGCAAAACCTGATGGACGGCTCCTGATTATACAAGATCCATCCAGAGTCCCGGCCAGGAGAGTGCGCACCATCAAGAGAGGATTCAGGTCTCAAAAATCACAGACTGTATGAACTCGCCTCCTCCCAACCCTGGGAGTTTCCGTTTTCTGTTCTGCCTTATTTGTTAAGAGTTTGCATATCTGATGAGGCCAAGCACACACATGGAGGGACAGGGATTCTTCTAGAACCCTCCATGAGTGCTCTGGCAGGAGTCATTGTCTGGAGGCTTTACGTGACTCCTCCTTTCTCTGCTTCATTGTAACACAATTTCTTCACCCAGCGCTTCTTCTTCGGAAAACGCTTATTTGAAATGTCTCCCAAGGAATCAAATTAAGCCTAATTATGCTTAATGGCAATGACTGGTGCTTAATTTGGATGGTAATTCTGCTTAATTGAGATGCCTTCAGGTGTCTAAGTGGTGTTCTAAGAGTGCTGGTGTGCGCGAGGGGATCGATCTGGAATTCTCCGTTCCTTCTCTGAACCTTTCTACAACAGAAGTGATGAAGCAGAATGACACAAGTTTCCTGAAGTGTAAGCGAATGATTGGGTGTTCAGAATCAACCGAGCTCACACACGACCTTTCCGAAATCTGCACAGACGACAGAGAAAGTGAAACTTCCAACACAGACAAGAGAAACATAGCCCCAAACTGCACGGAAGCCATTGTCTGCATGTTATAGCTGGGGCAGGTTCAGCAATCAGCCTGGAGAAGTCCAAGAACACACTCTTGTTCTTGACTAACTAGACGCCCAGGGGAGTCTAGGGAAAGAGCAAGAGGAGAGGCTTTGGGGACTTGGGCACAGCAGAGGGACGGTGGACACCTGCTCTCTTCCCGGCATGCTGCTGCTCTGCACGGGGCACACCCCACAGGGAGCCGTGTACTGATGGTCCCTTCTCCTGGCTTTTGGGAGCTGCACCCCAGGCCTTGACTCAGAAGGGCCCAAGGAACTCTGCCAGGCACATTGTGGAGGGTTTCTTCCCTGTGTTGGTCCAAGAGGCCGTGCGTCTTCATGGAAAGTGCGTCTGCCTGGGACCAAAGTCTGGAGAGCCTTGGCCACCTTGCTGCCCCGGGATGAGATGTCGCTGCTGTGCATGGACAGAGAATGGTAATGCCAGGGCCCTGGAGGGGGTTACTGTGCTGTGGGAAGTAACGTGGACTCTCCTGCTGCTGCCCTTTTGGCTCTTCTGTCCCTCTGACCAGAGCTCCTGTCAGTGTGTTTGATTATTTCCAATATCATCTCATTATTCCATTTTCTTATATGATTCATCAAAGTGATGGCACACTAGAGAGAGGCAAAGGAAGTGACTCTCCTTGCAGATGGCTGGCAGTGAAGTGCTGTGGGTGCCTCCAGAGCTCAGGGCTCTGACTTCCTGAAACTTGGTTTCAGGCAACAGGGACCCTGAGCTCCCTTTCAATGAGAAATTCCAGTATTTCTGCATGTCTTGGAAAGAGGGAGAAAATCCTGTGTATATGCATATCTTTAATGTACTTTAGAGAACATTTATCATCATGCATGTGTAAATGCACCTAAATGCAATTTGAAAATACTGGAAAGGTGTTCATGAGATCACCTGAAGATTAGCTCGGAGGCACAGTCTTCTCAGCTGAAGAGTTTTGAGTGTTCCTCTCACAGGAAAAGAGCTTACCTTTGACCTCGTGTACGGCCAAGTGGTGCGAGGGCATTCCCTGCAGCTGAGGGCAAACCCTCCCTTCGCTGGTCCTTGAAAGGAAACAAGGCATGGCTTCCCATGACTCCTCACTACTCCTGACACCTCGGTCCCTGTCTCTGGTTTCCAGTGTTACCGACACACTTGTGACCTCCAGGTTTGCCTCTGGGAGTTGTGTCTGCTTGGATCCGCAGCAGGTCCTCACCCCCTGCTGCCGACCACCAAACAGCCCTCCACATAGCACCATTGGTTCTCGAGGTCCCTTCGTGGTTAGAGGAAGGGAGAATGCATTGCTCCAAACTGGGACAACTGTCATACCAGTCAGGGTGCTGTGAGCCCTGGTGCAAGGACAGTGGGCCTGGCGAGGCTCCTCCAGGGAAACCGGAGCACAGCTGGCACTAGAAGGGCTCCTCACCCACCTTCCAAGTTGCTCTTCCTTCCCTTCCCCACGACTCACAGCACCTGCTGGAGAGCGACTCAGGGTGGAGCCGTGTGGGAGGACGTAGTGCTGCACCAGAGAACCAGGGCCCCGCCTGGGCCTCCCTCTCCCTCACCCTCAACTGGGCACCACGTCCTGCTCAGCCTCCATCTCAGACAACTCTGGGATCCTCTCCCTTAGAGCTGCCTCTGAGCCCGCTCCAAGTCAACTGTCATCATCCATCGCTCAGAGTGTCAGAGCAGATTCGCAGCTGTGCCTCCACCTCTCCTAGAACCTACTGCCACACGTTTTCCTCCTGAGCACAGGAGGGGCCTGTAGGGAGAGCTTATGCAATGGCTGCTGTCATGTGTGTCTTATCGGGGGCTTTCCCCAAAGCAGGGCCTGGTTTGCTTTTGACTGTGATCCTAAAGGACATGCAGGAAGGACCAGGAGAAACCCCACCTGGAGTGTGGAGCTGGGCTGTTTCCATGGGCACTGCTCCCTCCTGCTGGGAAGCCTGCAGAGCCCTGTGGACTGCACCTCTGGACTCCCTGCCCCACCACTAGAGGGAGTGTTTGTCCCCCCGTCCTGGCAAAGGGCTGTGGGAGCAGCCTCCTGCTCAGGGTTTGGTCTGTGCGCTGAAGACAAAGAGGACTCCAGAGGGCTTCACTGGTGGGGGTCTCAGCCCCAGGGCAGGAAGTGCGAGGTTCTGGGAGCAGCTGAGGGTAGCAGTGGTCACCAGGGATTAGGGTAATCGGGGATGAGCTTAGCACAGCATAAGAACACACAGAGACCACAGGACCTGCTGGGGTGGCTGCCTGGAGCTCCCGAGTGGCCCTCTGACCCACTGCCTTTGTGTGATGGCCTCATGTGATGTTCACAGGGCCACATGGAACATGTGGACGTCAACTAAGCCTGTGACTTACTGTAATGGCACAGTAGCACACCCAGTGCTTCACAATGTCCCAGTCAGATCATTCAGCCCCAGTGGCATTCCCCTCGCAGGGACGCCCAGTGCAGTACATGCCACCTTCTAGAGCTACTTCAATACTCCGCCTAGGGCATCCCCAACAAGTTGGACTGCACTGGTATGTCTCCCTAAAGCTTCTCCATCTAAGCTTCAGGACCTTTGCTAGATTCCCAAGGTCTAATAATTTACCTTGCTAGAGATTGAACAGAATAATGTTTAAATTTAAGTGAATGTAGACATTACTTAAAACAATTCTAAACTAGTAACATGATATACTTTTAAAATTCAGTTTTAAATAAAACTCCTTTTTGACAGACACATAAATGCAACGGCTTGGTAAACGGTCGTCAAATTGTTGACTAACTTTACATCTTTACTACTGAAAGTTGGCCACGGTATCGCAGCTACTTAGGCAAGCATGTGGATGTGGTCCTCTTCACAGCCACTTTCCAGAGAAGTCTTCTTATCACACGCTCTTACTATCTGTCCCTGGGGCTCAGGGAACTCGGCTCCCTCGCCCAAGGTCATGGAGCTACTGAGGGGCAGAGCTTGGTAGGGACTTGGGTAAGTTATTGACCTGCATGCGGAGAACCGAGTGGGCCACAGTGGAGTGACTCAGCCCAGGCGACACATGGCCCCAGAACACTGAGGACCCAACCATCATAAAACCGGGTTCTTTGGCAACAGCTGTAGCAGCTCCAGACCCCTCTGTGTAGAAGGAGGAAGTCCACAGCCCTTTATATTACCACTGTCATGTCACACAGCAGTGGCCTTGCTGCAGGACAGAAATCAGCAAGGGAAAGAAAAGGCATCCAGAAGACTTCCCCCAGTGCAGTCAGAATGGCTCTGCTCCTGGGCGGGTGCTCGGGGCACCCAGGAGCCCATGCAGAGGACCCAGACTGCGCAGATACAGACCCCACCCGGTGAGCCCTGCAGACACAGCCCTGCTTCGAATGACTGGAGACTCCGCAGCGGAGTGATCTTTCTAAATCTAATATTACTATAAACATAGGCTCTGAACATTGTTTATTTTAGTTTATCTAAAATCCACACTCAGAATGATTTTCTGTCAGTTTTTAAATCAAATCAATATAAAGATGTACCACCTTTGTTTTCCTGTTTCCACTGGTAGGAATCCCAATTGCGTTTCAACCAAATTAAAAACAGCCCAACTCTAGCAAACACAAGCGATTCTGAATGCACTCTCCTGGTGGATTATTCAGATGCAGTAACACAATTGTAGGCTGTGTGTGAGACACCCATGAGAACTAACCTGTCTCCACCGTCCTCTACTGCCAGGGGAGCACACCTGCTACTTAGTGCCACCTAAGGTGAGAAATCACCAAAGGCAAGGCCACCCGTCTGGCTTTTAGGAAAGCACAGAGATCCTAAGGAAAAAGAGCCTGTGGGTTTTCACGTGCTGTAAAATGTGCTCTCTGCATGTAGGCACAGGAGGAGAGGCCATCACACTGAGTGGCATGTGCAGAAACACTGGGCCTGGGTGGAGCCGCCGATGGGACAGCCACAGCGGGAAGGGCTGCGACCCCTGAGGGCAGCATGCCCAGACCTAGCTAGGCACCACCAGGAAAGGACAGCAAGAGGACAGCGTGACCCTGCTGACTACACTGCTTTCCCCGGGTGTGGGCATTGGACACAAGCAGTGCTGGACTTTCAATGCCAGTGGCAAAGTAAGGGGGTGTGCTTTACACAGTGGCCCGAGCCCGCGTGTCACCTGAGGCAGCACACCCTGGGAGCCGCAGCCTCACCTTGTCGGGGTCAGCCGTGGTGATCACCCACACACAGTGTGCGTTGTCTTCGTACTGAACCGGGTAGTTCGGGGAGGTGATGACGCCACTGGGCCCACGCAGATTCGATCCACAGGTCCTGGCTGGAAACAGAAACACGGTTACCTTCTAAGGCATTTGACGGTGTGTGAAAGATGTATTCATATGGGACTTCAATCAGCTTCTAAGGGACATGAACTAAAGTTGGCAGGTGGATTCTGCTCAGCCTGCGGGCTCCTGGTTAGTGTCCCAACATGCACTAGGAAACGTTCATATTGGATTTGCAAAGGCTCACAGGATGACCTCATGGTGACAGCACCATAGAAAATGTCAGTACCAATCCGTCGACTTCAAATCCCAGTCTGTCTCAAACACACGAGATACATGCACACACTCGGCCTAGTTCCCAGGAGGCCACACGGCCAGAGAGACTCAAGGACACATGGCACTGGAGTCCCAGGGCCAGGGCCCCAAACCATGCAGATGTCAGCAACAAGTGAACCAGAAGCAGCAGTCCCCGCCAGTTGGCCCAGCCCTGCTCAGATGAGGAGGGCAGAAGGACGGTCCCCAAGCCTCTTTCAGCCTTGAGTTCTCTCTACAAAGACGATGCCAGGGTCCTTACAGTCAATGCACATCGGCAGGGGGATGTTATTCAAAGTGTGGAGAACGAAGACAGCAATGGGCTCTGGAAGCCGGAAGCCAGCAGCGCCTCCCGTCTCTCCGTCCTGAGGGTGCACAGCAATCCCCGACCAGAATGAGCGGCTCGGGTTGGGGGTAAAAGCGCTTTGCCTGCCTTCTTCTTTGGGGAAGTCTTTTTAACAATAGGTGAATTTGGAAATCTAACGTCTCCTAGACTCGAGACTCAACATTGATCACTTCGGCTGGGTCTTGGGAAGGAAAAGGAGAAGCCGACTTCACAGAGGCTCACAGGGAAGAAGCTGGGCTTCGTTTCCCCACCACCACCGCCATCAGGCACAGGGGCCTCCCAGGAAGGGACCCAGGAGGGACCTGACCTGATGGGGGCCTATTCCCCCTCCCCTGGAATGAGCACCAGCAGGCCAGTCACTGCCCTAGGAGCCTCACACCGAGTCCAGGTACGTGCACTTGAGGTGGGCTTGAGGTGGGCTGCTACCTGCACCCCAGCCCCTCTGACTCTCCCCATTTATATTACCATAAAGTGACACAGAGCACGTCTGTTCCCAATAACACTTCTTTAGGTGATCATACCTACAGCTTTTCCTTTCCCATTGGGTCGGGATTTCTTGATGTGTCCTTACTTGTCTGCAGACCCCAGAGCCAGACACAATGTCTGCTGTCCTTCATATGCTAATGTGACAAGATCACTTTGGACAACTTTTCCATTGCTTAAATATACTATGGAAATAATCAGCTAAAAATTGGCCTACTCTATGTTAAAATTCACTTTTTTAAAAAACCAGGTATTGAACCAGGGGCTCTCAACAACATAGCCACATTCTTAGCCCTTTTTATATTTTATTTAGAGATAGCATCTCCCTGACTTGCTTAGGGCCTCACTAAGTTGCTGAGGCTGGCTTTGAACTTGTAATCCTCCTGCCTCATCATCCCAAGCCACTGGGATTAAAGGCATGTGCCACTGGACCCAACCAAAATTTACTTTTAAAAATTGGTATTTGCTGTCCAAATGAATTTCATTGCCTAAATAAAGATGGGTACAAGTTTGTTTTTCAGAACCCAGTGCGTGTGTCACGGCTCTGAAGGTCTCTGACAGAAGGCACAACGCGAGCCTGCACCCCTCCAATGGGCAATGAGTCTTCACTCCCTAACAGATGCCTTTAGCAACATGTTCTTGAGAGTGCCATGACTTGAGACGTGAATTCACCTAAAGCACACTATGCTAACAGGATTAATTAGAAAACCATAAAAGGACAGTTATCAGTGCACAACTCCAGTTAGGAGACCTTTATGATACAACTTATACTTTGGAACTTTGAATCATTTAGAGCTTTGCACATCAGAGAGACACTCAATAAATACTTGTTTATTTGACTATGAATCAGTGTAGCCACAGTGCCTTTCTAAGCACGTCACACTTTGAGAAAGCAGCTCTGCTCTGGGGAAGTCGTGCATGGGAGTCCACTGTGGCCCACCCCCTGCATCTGTGCCCAACCTGGCATCAGCCCCAGCTGTCCCCACCTGGTGACCAAATCTCACCATCTTTGGCCATGCCTATCAGTCAACTTCAAATTCCAGTCTGGCTCGAACACACGAGATACATGTACACACTAGGCCTAGCTCCCAGGAGGCCATAAGGCACAGAGAGACTCAAGGACACGTGGCACTGGAGTCTCAGAGCCAGGGCCCCTAATCATGCAGATGTCACCAACAAGTGAACCAGAAGCAGCAGTCCCCGCCCGTTGGCCCAGCAGTCCCCGCCCGTTGGCTGCCTGCTTTGAAGCTGGACTCCCACTTGACTTATTAAAACTGGTTCCCAGAATTTCGAGACACTGATCTACCATTTGGAGGGGAATTATGACTCCAGTGGTTCTACTTTGAGTGAGTTGTTGGAAATATGCATGGAGCAGCAGCACAGCTCTACGTTTCCTAGTAGCACAGGGTCCGGCTCCTCCTCAGACCTTCAGCTGTGAGTGTTGGAAATGAATCTACAGAATGTTTTTTTTTTGTTTGTTTCTTCTTAGCGACTTATCTTCATCCTTGAAATGCATCTCAATAGCAGATTATTATTCTTGTCTTAATCCACATTTCTTAGGAAGCTATCAAAGGAAATATCTGAAATGAAGTGTAAGGGCACACTCAGGGCAAATATAATTGTCAATTTTGTTCATTAAAGCTTTGCATTTAAAGCAGTTCCCGGCATTTGAGGGTTTCCTCTATAAATACTTGTTGTGACTCTTGAACAGGTAAAGCCTCTTTAAGTCACATGATCTACCTATAATTACTTAATTTTAATCCTTAATTTTTGAAAACTTTAGCTAGCACCTCAGTCACTGTGCTTCTAACTCATCTCCATCCTTATCATCTGCTTCTTCGCCACCTGAAGGTCACCTCCCCTCATGCCACCAGTGATGATTCCTGAATTACTGCTTTCTTGCAGCATGGTGGTACCAAGAGTGACGATTCTCAGTCTTCCCACTGACAGATACTCAAAGCTCAATCGCACGTGTCTTTATCCTGGATAGTAACGTGGCCTGAGTGGCCATGATTTCTCCCAGCTGCCACCCACAGGCCGCGGTGCAGAGCAGTAGGGTCCTGGATTCCTGCAGCCCTGGGGGCTACCCAGGGATTCTGCCTGTTGCTGGTTTGGAGGCAGGAAGTGTTACATTAAAGTCTCTGGATTTGGGAGTGGGGAGAACACAGCCTGCTCACAATTCTTTCTTTGTCACAATCCACATCTTCTTCCTCCTCCATCAGCTGCAAGATTTTAAGATTTCTTTTCCAGGCAACTGTATGCCAGTGTTTCAAAAACTCAACATTTAAGAATTAAAAGAGCTTGAGAGAAGAAAAGCAAAGCCTTGGAGGCCCGACGGAGAGCTGCACGGACTGGACTCAGTGGAGAGCTGTTGGGGACGTATGGATCAGAGAGCCTGCTGTCCTTCCCTGGGCCACACTTAGGGCAGCAGTTGGGAGAAGCCCACCTGCAAGGCAGGGAGCAGGAACAGAGGTGGGGAATCGGGGTCACCCCAGGCCCACTATGGAGGGGCAGAGCGGATGTCCATCTAGCCACATAGGTCACTGTGCTGCTGCAGCTGTCTGTGCTGTGCTCAGGGACGAACCCAGCAGACACGGAGGGCCATGAACCCACGGGGACAGCTCCAAGTCTGCACGCTGGCCCCTGAGATGCGTTCCCCCGGCCTCTCGCCTCCATGCACAGCCTCCACTGGCTTCTCGCTTCGTGCCAAGGGTGGACTGCATAGCTCCTCCTTGGGGCAGAGCTCGGAGAAACCTGTCCTGAGAGGGACTGGTCACTTGTTCGGCATCTGTGGAGGGAGGGACCCCTACCATTGCCTCTGTAGTAAGCCGCTGTCCAAACAGCCAACACAGGGTTAAGGAAGCACAGGAGAAATTGCACCAGCACCAAGAAAGCTTCACAGTGAGCTCTGTACGCACCTTCCCGTCACTGAAGTGTGAGGCACACGTTTGCATGTGAGAGACTAACGTCACTGTCACCCTTGTGAAGGCCTCGCCCCTCGTCAAGATCTTCTGTGAAATATAGCACCTAATGTAGACTAATGCCCACTTACACGCATAATAAATGTTCTTGGATAACAGCCATGACCTGATGCATAACTGATGTTACTCTCTTGACAGTTTTCTACACTTGTAAACTCAAGTTTCACTCATGTCTTGCATGTATTCCAAGTAGAGCTAGAATTCACAAAACGGTGTGTTGGTAATGCAATACGTCATGAGAGAAAGAGGGAGAATGAATCAGTTTTCAATGCCAATGTATGCCATTTGTCCATTTAATCAATGAATACGTATTAAGTACAAAATTCATTTCTTTCACATGATTTATCTAACACAAATAAATTACAGATTCATTTAAGTACAGTTCCAGAAAATCCTTTCTGTTCTGTAGTAATTGCTCAATTGAATTAATTGAAGGAAAGAATATTCTAATCAACTAAATTTAAATTATTCGGATAGAGGAGTCACATTAGAAACTTTCTCTCATGCAATTTCATAAGTATATAGACTAGTTCATTTCTTACATGTTTTAGAGGAAATAATCACTGTTAATCATATATTTTCTGTCTACTCCAGATTGTCAACCCAAACAGAGGACAGTGGGGCACAGCGGTCAGGAGCCTCTTCTCTCTGTCCCTGAGTTCCAGGCCTGGCTTAGGTCCTCTCCTAGTTATTTAGCTTAGGCCTCTCAGAGTGTTCAGCCAGTAAGAGCCTTCACACCTACTGCTGTCTCGGGGCTGCACGAAGGTGCATGGGGCACCAGGCCGGACCAGCCACGCCACAGAGCTCGTGTTGAAGTCCACGAGGAAGGAAGTGACAGTGAGTCCGGCCTCGAGGAGGCTGCAGACAGGGAAGAGCCGCACTCCTGGCCTTGATGGAGAAGTTGGCAAATACAGTCATCAACAGGTTACCTCAG